CTGGATTGATTGATGGCAGGATTTGTAGGTGCTGAGCCTCCTTTGAAGGCCTAGCAAAGCATGTCTGCGTTGAGAGGGATCTATTAATAGCGTATAGATGGGTTATGGATCGGACCACGCAGCCAATCCGAAACACTAAATGCAGCGACAATACATCAAATCGCTACTACTTATTCGTGCAAGCACCTGTACTAAAGCGAGGTGCTTCATCGTTGGGAAGATTTGCCCTTGGTGTAAAAACATCGCTCTATGTAGCTCCCTTAAGGAGTGTCTTTGCCACCCAATTCAGGGGCCTTTGCTTTTTGCCTGCACACGGCAAAAGTGAAGACTTGCCCTTTCCTAATGCCACATTCAGACGACGTGAGAGGCAACTGAAGGTCAAGTGGGCTAAAGTTTAAGAGGAGGGAGGGGTAATTTGCTGCCCTTAGTTATTCTTATTTTAACACTTCATTGTCTCCCATTTTCCCCTTTTGAAAGCAGTCCTCTTATGGAAGATAAACGCGCTTCTATCATCTTACTACTACCATCTTTCGCCTATCGTAAACAGTAATGTTCTGCTTACCAATTTTTTGATAAATCGAACTGAGTTTGTTTAAAACCAACTTTGTCACACTACTTCCTCCATACTTAAACATATTTTCCATTGTTTACATCTACTGGGCATGTGTTCAGTACAGATTCTTACGAAGGCTTTTATTGGTGCATAAGAGGATGGTTGCATTGTCGAATGGGCTGCAAAATGTCGCAAGGGCTGAATGACTAGCTGAATGGGTGAATGAAGGAATGAATGAATCCACGGGTAAGTGGATGGGCAGTTAGCCAGATGGGTGCATGAGTAGGAGGACTGATGGGTGAAGGAATGGAGATTTGGGTGAATGAATGCTTAGTTGAACAGATTGACGGATGAATGTATGAATGCAGAGATGGATGGAGGAACAAATGGATGAATAGTTGCATTGATAATTAATGGGTGGTTGGTTGAAAGGGCTGGCTAAAGTTGGTGTTGATGGACAGACGAGCAAATGAAAGCAGCTGCATAAATGAATTGAGACGTAGTTGGTCAGTAAAATGAATGAGCTGTCCTCTCTAGTCGAGACCACGACAAAATAAGCCTCTCTGTCTCCTAAGATGTCTGTAATATTAGGCCCCGCTCTTTGAACCACTCGCCAAGCCTACTATAATCCTCAAAGGATTCCAATTGGTGCCATCGTTTCAGGCACCCTTGACCATCCACTTAAGACCTCCTCCAATTCACAGATCCTCTGATCCGATTTTCCAAATCGAGTTATCTTACCTGAGCCTGGAGTGATTGGGCTAAATCGTGTGTCCCAAACAGATTGCCAGAATTTATAACAACAGAGTAGATTTGGAATGTTCCTGATCCGCGAATGATTGAGATTTGTAAGTGGTATTTGAATTGGCCAAGAAGACTAATGATAACTCCTGCTATTATTAGTAGGCCGATCTATCTGCCCTGAGATCCTGGCAACGAGCGTGTTACTCTAGGTTCTGAGTAAATACCTTCACCCTCTAGCTCACCCTGTTGGAATAATAAAGTGGAAAGTGTGTCGTCGAAGTTGGTTTTCATTCAGAACACCGTTTGCCAGACAGTCTAGGGTGTTCACTTTTTCAAATAATATGAACCTCCTGTTACTGTCACCAGCACCAATTTCATTGTTGTTTTTCTCCTCGCCACCCCAGGCCAACCGACTGGACCTCTGCTGTTGTGTGGAGATGGTGATGCCAAGTGAAAGTCTCACGGACGAGGAGGATTCGATGCCGGAGACCGAAAACCTAGGAAAACGGCGCAAAAACAAAAGTGGGTTCGCCTTACTGCATTTAGCGGGGTCCTCTCCTATTGCTATGATTGGAACTGGGCAGCACTTGTAGACATCAGAAGTGCTCAGTGTATAACTGTTGGGGTATTCATGAGGGTGGTACTTAGCCCTAGCAGAATGGACTGCAGGGTTGGATAATGTTTTGCTACCATTCCTGGCTGGCCTTCACGATTACCCTTCTGCGTCGGATTAGATGTGACACTTAGTATTGTTCCAGGCTGGCTGATGATATACAGAAGGTGAGCTTTTCGTGTGTCAAGTACTTTTCCTAGAAAACTTATACTGACGACGAAAACCAGTTCAGTTGGCAGAAACATCCACTCACAACGGATTCCATCTAAAGCACTCCAATGGTCAGAGCTGTAGCGTTGCACAGAAGTGATAACCATGTGCTGAAACCACACCTTTTAACCCAAAGTCAGTAACTGATCCATCTACATGGACACGGATTGTGGAATTGGATGAGTGGGAGAAGTGAGGTGTAAACGACATTGGGCCAGTTCACTTTGCACCACTCTCCTCCCCTTTTCCCTTCTATTCGCCCAACTGTGTGCCACGTTTTGCAATCACCGGACTGATGGAAACAGCCCTGCGCAAAATTGGGATGTATTTCAGTACGGGATGGAACGAATCAGAGGTGAAAGAGCATGATTAGGCACACTAAAAGTGGTTCTGTGCACTTTTTTCACTCCCACCAATTGGCGAATCGCAGATTCGCATGGTATTCCCACTCTCCTGGGATGAAAGTTATTCGAGTTATTACAATGAGGTGTCGTTTCAGTGGAACTCCTCTCGAACTCGCCTTGGTCACAACGTCCTGCTTGTGTTATGCTCAAACGGCGATTGGCGAAAGGGATGCTTTTGCATTTGTTATTCCATTTGCTGAGAATAATCAGTGGTCACTATGCCATTAGGTTTCATTCTTTCTGAATCACCATTCTCAAGTCCTCTTCCACTCTCACAAGCACTCACTGCTTATAAGTTGACTGAAATGCGTAACCGCCTCTATCCCCACTCTTCAACTTATGGCCATGAATTTGTCTCACTAGAGGATTGAATCTATTTTCCTTTCATGCCCGTATATTATACAAATAAGTAGAATAATCAGCTGCATGCATTCCGCCTTTACTGAAATCGAGGCTTGAATCCTCCAGAAGGGAGTTGGTTAGTTGTACAGTAAAACAGCTCCATATGGTTACTGATGGGATCGTTGGTGGTGGCCGACGATCCCTCGAACACTTTAGGTGCCCAAGCTCCTGAAATGCCTGGTGTGGCAGCATCCACGTGGTAGTGGTAACGACCAAGTGGTGAGTCTGTTGTGTTTCACGTAACTGCCAATTTCCTCTCACCGATGTAGGAAAGAGCGACCGACCCTGGCTGTACCGCTTCGTGGCACACGTGCTGGCGCCTTTCATCCTCTCCAAGTGGGTGCGGGCCCTCCTCTTCATCCTCTTCCTGGGTTGGATATGCTTCTGCATTGCCATAATCCCTGGTGGTATTCACATCGGGCTGGACCAGAAGCTGTCCATGTCGTTGGACTCCTACGTGCTGGAGTACTTTGAAGCCACATCCGGCCTGCTGGCGGTGGGACCGCCAGTTTACTTTGTCGTCACTGAGGGCCACAGCTTCGATTCGGTCCATGGACAGAACCAGATCTGCTCGCGACCCGGTTGTGATGAGGATTCACTTGTGAATACACTGAAACAGAGCATTGCCAGCAAGGAGTGAGTGAAAGAAAGTTGTGAATTCTTCAGTGCATTGTTTGAAAGTTGAAACTCCATTGATGATGCAATAAGCGCTCACTGAGTAGCCTTTTTACTGAAATGTCGCTCAACTCATATCAAAATTTATCCCTACGAGGCATAGCCATTTTTGCCCTGACAACACGAACAAAACTGGGTGTTCTGTGTGGGAATGACTAAAAGTTGTCGAGTTCTATTACTTTACTTTAGCGATTGCTAGGGGAACCATGCCTTTGTCCCTTAGTTGAATTAGGCGATGCAATTGAAGAGCAAGATAGCCAAAGGGATCTTTAGATGCCCTTCCGATGTACCTAGGATGTGTGAGACTGGATTTACTTAGGATCTCCCTGACTGAAAGTAAGATACACTGCAGGGTAAGTGGCTATACACTAACGCTTTGGCTGCCATAAGCTCTCGTAGGTGACTAAAATCTTCGCAGTCCAAATTATCATTGTTCGAATAGGACACGTGTGTCAGTACTGTCGTCCTCTTTAAACTAGGAGTATTTCGCTTACTTTGCATTGTTTTAATTTCAACCAAACACTTTACTGCAAAGGATTTGTTGCAGCTAGTTATCAAAAAAACTGACAGAGAAGAGATGTATATTTGACCTCGGGTGATAAAACCGGAGCGTCACATATGTGTGACGCCAGGTGTGTCCTGTTTACAACTTGCTACCTGTCCACTTACGAGACCAACTCAGTTGGGGCTAGAATGACCCAAGTTTCGGTAAACCACCGAACCGCTGAACTGTCTGTTTTGTTCACCGGCATGATGTTGCTCCACCCTGACGGTAAAAATATGCGCACCTTCCGACTGAAATTCGGTTCATTGGATGCAACATGTAAATTCCTTTCGGCGCGAGTACTTTTCGTTGTGTATATTCAATGTCCTGAAACCTGATCTGGAAGAACAAAAATCCATTTGCTCCACCTCCCAGTCTGTGGCGGTCCGTTGCCCGAATAATTTGTCCAAACAAGAAACGAAACATTTAAATAATCCTTCTGTTGTCTGAAATTAGGTGTGTCTGTGTACTCGATGGCTGTACTACTGATAAGTCAACTTCCTTGGGACAGTTTATGTGGTCGACCTTACTTTTCTCTAGCCATCTCCATGTCAGGGTTGCTCGATAAAAGTCGACCAGCGTAGCCCGCTTGTGCTTTTCTTCTAACGCATTGCCTGTTATCCTCCCTCTAACCTCACCTACTTCCCCTTGATTGAATGTGCTTCAAATGGGTGTGACATTCGTACTCATGTGAAAAAAAATCAGAGCACCACATTTGTGTGACGCTGATGGTGAACGTGGCAAGGGGTTGCAGCACTCCAGAGATCTTTAACATGCAGGAACACGAGTTCTCCAAATCCGGTATCTCATCCATCTCGTTTTTGGATTTATCTTTGTTGGCCTAGATACTGCATCTCAAATCCCTTGATGTCCTGGGTGGATGACTACAGGATGTGGAGCACGCACCTTTCCTGCTGCGGAGTCCACAAAACCGAAGGTGGCCTGACCTTCTGTGACTCGGCTCGTGAGCAGAACTGCGATTACTGTCCTACCATCAATGGTGCCCTCTCTGGAAAACCCTTCAATCAACTTCTGCCCAACTTCCTTGCTCGTGTGCCCAGCATCAATTGCCCTTATGGGTGAGTAGACAAATACGGTCTGAAAATGACCAAAACACATGGAAAAGTAGAAACACGTAGAATTTCCCCATTTGGATTGGTGGAATAGAGTTGGCGTTTGATTGGCTGGTTGGTCGCCTGAATTTGATTGGTCATCACGTGTTAATTGAGTGGAATTGATTGTTTGAAACGAGGTAACTGGCCGAGTGGCTGTTAGGGCGCTTTTTTAAATCAACTAGTTCCGTGCTACAGTCATCAGGCTCGAAGTGTAATGCTTTAAAAGTAGCGTTCAGTCCGTGGGTTATGTGTAGAAGTGGAGATAATTAGGGAAACAATGAGACGAGACTGTCGTGAGAGTAGAAGTTTCGGTGGTTGAACTTGGCCTTGAGATGGAAAAAGGGGGTCTAATCGTCTGTCTGAGTTTTCTTATCAGGAATTAACAATAGCACCAGAATTTGACGTGGATTAAGCCTTCCCTTCAAATTGGTGAAGACGAGGAAGCTTCACAGGTGAATGGGTAGAGAGACGCATGCACTGATGCATGAATTTAGAAAGGTTGGTTGAATCGACTCGTGGCCGATAATGAATGGATGGACCGTGGGGTAGAGGGATAGATCTGAGGCAAATGGATGGGTATATGGTTGAACGAAGCAAAAAGGAATGAGTTAGTCTATTTAAGATGGGTGTACGGATGCATGTGAAGAGTGGATGGATGAATTAATTGGCAGGGAGGTGGGTTGGTCCAAGATGGATGTGTAAATTTGGGAGAGAGGGATATGTGGATGGAGATGTGGCTCGCTCATCTGAATTAGCATGCACTTTCTCGTCTTCCAACAGTGGCAAAGCGCAGCATGGTTCTGCAGTGGTTCTCGCTGCATCCCATCCTCACTCCAATTTCACCGCCACTTCCACGCAGCAGTTACGTGTGCTAACCTCCCATTTCGCCGCCCATCACAGCATTCTGCGCACCACAGAAGACTTCATTGAGGCCATCCGAAAGGCCCGTGAAATCTCCGACATCTTTGGACCTCGATGGGCCAATGAGTCGTCGATGGCGATAGAAACCACACCGATGTTCTCTAAACTCACCTCCAAGCCGCGTGGACCACAGCCCAACTCGGTTTTCCCTTATAGGTAGGGACTTGTGACTCTCCATGTTACGCTTTGGGAAATGGATTCACGTTGAGATGTTTAATCGTCTTTGCTCTGCGATAGCGTATTCTACGTGTTCTACGAGCAGTATCTGAACATCATCCACGAGACCATGGTTCAGATGTCCATGGGTCTGAGTGCAGTCTCCGTGATTACTTGGGTAATGCTGGGTCTTGATTTCATCGCCACGCTGAATGTTGTGGTGGGAGTGGCGTCCATTGCGCTCTCAGTGACTGCCATGATGGTGCTATGGGACATCTCACTGAATGCCATCTCACTGGTCAATCTTGTGGTGGTAAGTGTGGCAAGCACCCAAATCTGGCCCTTGCCTATCCTCCTTCGAGCCTTGAATTAGCACCATAGCACGAATGGTCATAGACTTTACTAGTAGTGGTGCATCCTAGCCTGCATCCTAGTCAATCGCCCATCCACAAGCCTTAACGTTGGCGCTGGATACCATGGTGGGCAATGAGACAACACTAACTTTAGTCTTGCCGATGCGAATTTGACCAAGTTGAATTGAACAGGGAGGTGAACTACAACGCCACTATTGTGGAGATAGTAACTTTTATCCAAATGAAGGTTGAATGAAGCTTCCTTCCCTCTCCTCCGCCGGGTGGAGTGAAAATGCCATAAAAAACTGCGGTTGCTTGATTGGTGGGAGTAGGAAAAGTGCACAGAAGCACTTTTGTTGTGCCCAATCGAGTTTTTGCATCTAGGAGTCGCCCCACCCGGCATTTTTATTTGCCCCGATTTTGCACGCGGTTGTTTTCGTCAGTCCAGAGATGGCGAAACGTGGTGGAGAATTGAGCGAATGGAGGGGATGGCGGAGGTGGGTGGTAGGGGGCTGCATCACACGAGATCGTAGCGAGTCAAAGTGAACGTGGAGATGGCACCGCTTGCCTATCTCATGATCCCCTTCAACTCACAGCTTGACTTCCCCACTCTCTTAGCCTGTACTGCCATCTTCCCCTTCCTTTTAGTGCATTGGAATCTCAGTGGAATTTTGCGCGCACATTGTCCGTTCCTTCGCCATCAGCACCAAGGCGACCCGTGTGGAGCGAGCATTGGATGCGCTTTCAGAGATGGGCAGCTCGGTAGGTGTCCTGCATTGGCATGTTGCACAATTTGTGAGTGGGACAGGTTTGCTGTTTCCCATGGCTGTATGTCCACCTATCACGAAGTTACTGGCCAGTTCGTGGTGGAGTTTTTCTTCTTTGAAGCTTCATGGAGTGGAATCATGTTATTCTTGACTTAGGTTAGAGGGTAAGGCCTGACTACACCACTGTTCCGTCTGTGTGCAGGTTCTGCGAGGCATCACACTGACCAAGTTTGGTGGTATCGTGGTGCTGGGCTTCGCCAAGTCGCGTCTATTTCAAGTCTTCTACTTCCGCATGTACCTGTGCATGGTCCTCTTCGGTGCTGTAGTTGGCATCATATTCCTACCCGTTCAACTTAGCTACTTCGGTGAGTTGGAAGTGGCAGCCTTTGTCATCAATTTGCCCTTTAACACCTCGCTAAATTCCATGTTGTTGAGGCATTTGGATGGCCTCCATCATCTGTGCAGGGACCGGTTTTAAAATGCTACTAGTCTGGCAGTGATGAACTTATTACCAACGCGCACAGAGGACAGCAAGACACTGTTGAACAGGAGGTGGCACCTCTGGTACTGTGTGGTGGGTGGGTGGTTGAGGGAGAAAATCGACTGCACGAACTTCAAAATTTGTACTACCCAAGTAGCCGACTAAAATGGTGTTTAAAAGCCCCAAGGCTTCATTCCAAATTTGTTTCCAATGCAGTTGCATGTGCAGCCAGTTATATGAACAGATAAAGAACACTCGTCACATATGGGTGACGGCGCTTGTGGCAGACGTGTTGATGATCCCGTGTGCGTGTTTGTTTCTGTGTTGTGTGCAGGACCACAGCTGAATCGCGCGATGCTGTACAAGCAAAAGCGACCAGTCGCTGGGAGCATAAGGAAGAGCTCCCACCGAGGTCAATACCACACCTAGCCTCCACCACCACTGCTACTGTCGCTGACTCCCTCACCCTATCGACGTCTTCCAAGCCACCGCTTCCATTTCGTGCTCTCGTCGATCTTTCTCCTCCCTCCTCCACGTCTTATCGATCTCCGCTCTTTTAACACCGCTTTCCTTTATTCCTAATGACATAATGCTGTCAAAATATTCTTCCAACGCTAATGACGATGGTGATGCTGGTGTTGCTGCTGCTGCTGAGAAAGCGTTAGTTCCCTACTCTGCCTGCTACATGAAACAATAGACGATGATGTTAGGAAACTTATCTCACCACTCACTGGCAAGCACGCACACCGCACACACTTACATTACTGACTTGTGTTGACTACTCGTGTGTGAGTGCGTTTGTGCGTGTGTATGGAGGTTGTTGGAATTACATGTGAAGCCTAGAAGGACTGGGTCTTTCGTTGTCGCTCCTTCGTGTGGGGTGGAGAGGGGCTGATATCGAAGTGAGTAGTAGTTCGAGGGTGGGTTTACTCGTAGCAGCACCTTCGATCACGGTACGCCAGTGGTAGTGGTGGCGCCAATTTTGCCAGCATTCCACGATATGGCGGCAGTCACTCGTGTGGACTTTCAGTCATTGCGCAGTTGCGTGAGAGGCGGCCTCTCTGTGTCAGGGGTGAACGTAGTCGTTAACGAACACCTTCAAGATCGGAAAGCCAGTCAGTCGCTGCAGGAAGGTTGGGTCGTGATGGAGAATCTTTTGCTGGGATGAGTTCACAGTTGTGCCGTAGTGCCGGTTCTCTCTACCAAAATGTATTCCCTGGGGCCTTCTATGAAATCTAGAGATTCAGTTTGGCCTGAACGATCGTAGCAGCGTTTCAAGGGTCTAGATGAAACCAGAGCTAAGGGGTAAGTGGACGGGTGGTTGGTGGTGGGGGTTAAATTATGATCTCCTGAGGTAAAAGCCATGAGATAGGCCTCTTCCGGCATGAAAAAATTACAAGCTCCAAGATTCCCCCAATTGGCGAACTGAGAAGCGTGCATAAGGAAACAGGGACATACTCGACACACTCAAGACTCCTGCCTGCGTCTGCAGTGAATTTGGGTATCAAGCGGTGTCTTCAAAAAAAAAGAAGAAAAGGTGAGGACAATTTCAAAGACTCATTCTTTTATTTCGCATCAAGCAATCAAAATAAACTCAAACATCTTGTCAAAAACAAGAAAATCAATTTGTACAAAATATTACCACTGAGTCTATTTAGAAAAGAGCCCTCTTTAACCCCTCAAGGTCGTGTTTTGCTACTCCTATCCCTCGTTCAAAGATGTCGCCAGTGTTAGTTGAAAGCTCGAATTCGACGCCGTCTGGGTGTAAGGAAAGCCGAATGCAGTCTTCGCTCCAACTCACTCACGCCTTGGGCTATGATTGGCGCACAGGGTTCAAGGTCGTTGTCACCTTCAAAAGAATGTTTGCCTTTGCTAACCCCATCCGCAAGCTCTTGAGGCGGGATCTTTTCCAAGCACTGCCTAGTCCAATGATCCAATTCCGTCCCTAGAAGCCGTTTCTTTTCATCCCGATGACGAATCCTAGATTTCTGAGCCAACGCATTCTGAGGAGTGGAACTGTTATTTCCAGCCTCTGCTTTTTCCCGTTTTTTCAGGCACAATTCTCGCCCCCTGTGCGTATTCAAACTTGCCTTCACAGAACTACGCAATTCAAGAGCTTCAACAAAAATCAATTGAAGGTGATTTACGCATTCCACAGCTTCCAGAGTTTTAAGCACCACTCGCTCACCCGAAAAACTGGCGAGCCCTTTCACCACAGCCAACAAATATCTTTCCACTGTTAAGCACTTTAACATGAAGTTGGAGGCGGAGAATTTTGGGATACTTTCTATTTGACAAGCCTCATGACACAGTGGTGTGGAAAATCTCTCCGGCACATGTACTGTTAACCTCTCAACGCCTGGATGAGGTTCCAAAGAGCTCAACCCCTCAATCACTGAAGCCTTACTGGGTCTTAAAGAAGACATCTCCAGAACGCGTTCGTCCCCTGGGATGCAATCCATCGAAGCACCCAAGCAGACTGGTTGATCCGTTGAACGAGTTGGCGTGATTGGTTCCGCCTCCACAGTTGCGGTGGTTTCTCCGCTTCTACTCTCCTCACAGTCATCTGTAACTACGTATCTCTCGTCACTCTCCTGAATCAAAAACTGTTCCACGTTGATAAGATGCTTCTCCGCAAAAGGTACTTCCACCACTTTAACTACTCCAGATCCACCACTCCCGTGACGACCTCCATGGGGAATAGTCAGGTTAACTGTCTGTTGATAAGACCCACTCTTGCCTTCAGGAAATAGCGTAACATCAACAAATTTCGAGTCCGCACAAGTTTTGCTTGATTCTTCGGACCTATTTATCGACGCACTCACGGTTAGTCGACAATTGGCTTTCGGTAGATCCACCGCAACGCTTGCATCTTCTTGCACTGCGACCGCCTCCTTCTCAGGATCAGTTAAACCAAGGATTGAAGAAGTCGGTGTATAAGTCTTATCCCACTCATCAAACTCCTCATATCCATCTGCAAAATCATCAGCGTTGTCAGCGCTTGGATTGGCACTACTGGTTAGGGAATTAGTCGCTCTCGTCCACACCCTATCTGTTGGAGATGGGGGTGGGCTTTCAACCAACTCCCCCAAGCCCTTCTTCTCAAATGGGCCAAATTTTTGCCTGTTCCGGCTAGAATCATCCTTTTTATTCGTCTCCATCGTGGTGCGCTGCTTTTTGAAATGCGGGGATGATATTTTAGACAAGAAGTCCAACTTGGAAAGACGTCTATGCGAGGCGCCTCGAATTGGGTCGCCATGATTTGCAGGTGATATCAGTGGTTTTGCAAATTGCGTTGTCTTCTCCTTCAGCTGCGTCGAAGAGACAGATGGTTGTCTGACCATCTAAAAAAAACAAAGCACAACGCCTTGGTTACTCCTAACAGTATTTGGACTAGGATTCACCCCACCCTAATGTTTTAAATCACACGTCCTACTTGAAATAAAGTTTCGCCTTTGATGAATCACTTCTCAAGAGCTAACTCTAGTGACTAGCACTATTTCTGGAAAGTCATCAAAGAGACAAACGTGAAGGAGCTTGAATTCAGCCATCACTTTGATGATTTGGGGGATGAGAAGAGGAGGTGGAGGAAGAGGACAGGTGGGGGGAGGAGGAAGAGGGGGAGGTAGGGTTGATTGTTCCTAGGCCTGGGGTTCGACCTCTGCCTGACAGGGCGAATACTCTTCCGGTTCGATGCAAAAACCGAGGTGAAACAGAATTCTATTGTCATACGCCAAGAGCATAAGTTAACCTTTGGTAGGATCATCCATAGTGAATTGAAAAGTGTGGAGAAAGCCGAAATGGCGTAGCGGATACAGGGATAGTTGGTTCGTTTGTTTACTAACCTGAGTGAATAAAACACTAAATATTAATTAAAAGCAACTTCTTCTTGGTAAAGACAAACCATCTTACCTCTACAGATTTACCCGAGTGTTTCTTCCGTTTCGTCACAGTACTTCTTGATGGCTTTGGCTTTGCATTGGTTGCTCGTTTACAGTTTCCACGATCATCGCTAAAAAGGTTGCATGAAGTGGATAAGCCAAATGTCATGCCACCGGCTTTACTACTTAATTGACACAAGTAGAATGGGACGTGCACATCGTCGCGACAACTGCCAACTCACACATTGAGGTTGATAATGTAATTGACAAGTGCGTCATGAAGTTGGGGCGAGATTTTCACAGTATCACGATTCCTGAACAGCCTCTACAAGGCATGGGGTTTAGAGGCATTATCACCAAAGTACCTTAGGAGAGCTTCAACAGCATGAAGTTGTCTATCTTATCCCAATTTGACCGATAGAACCGACCTCCGTCCATGCCATCCACAAGCGAGGTTCTACTGGTTAGCATTAACTAAATGGGTCTCTGCAATCATCTTTTAACGTATCGAATAAATGGATGCAGTTCCTTGAAGTAACTCATTTGTTGGACAAAGCGCATTGGAAGTAGAAGGAAGAGCCTGTCCACATTCTACTCCGCCTCCAACCTATCTTTACGTCCTAATTACCAACTTTATTCCTTATATGATCATGCTGCTGTCTAGGATCGAGAAAGGGTGAGAGACAGTGGAAAAAAATGAGGACGAGAAATCTGTCGTTCTCCCATCCATCCCGGCTAAACTAGAAATCCTTTCACAGATCAATTGTTCGGAGATAAAAAAGTGGTCTGTTGTAGAGAGAAAGTTTTCTCTCAGCTTTTTGACTGATTCTCATAATTACCGAAAAAAGAGGGGTATTTTATGCGGCTTCGACTTGTGTCGAGTAGACAGATGGATCTCAGTTATAACCGGTAGAAAATAAACATCTTACACAGCTTCCGTAGAACAGTTGAATGGAATAATTCAAATTGAGAGCTTGACAGCGATCCATTGAGTTTCGAGCCGTGTCAGCCACGTGACCCGGAACCCAGCACTGTAGACCAGTCTGCATGTTCTGCATTCGAACCAGAACTGGATCATTCAGCTGAAAATAAGTTGCCTGTTAGAATGGATGCGTGTAAACAATCGATAGAGGGATTATTTGGCAAAAGAGTTGGCGAAGGTGGTGGTTAAGTGGGAAACAAACCCTTCCTTTATATCAGGATGGAGTAATAAAGAAGTATCCGAATAGCGAAATAGGAAGCAGTAAAAGGAACGCGAAGAAGCCATTTCCTCATGCAATTTGTCTAATTCAACGGAACAACAAAATTTCACATTTTATCCATGACTTTCTCATGAGTGTGTACGTGAACGGACGAAGGGTACATGCGCATAATTGTGACCTAACTCTCCTCTCCCCGGTAGCTTGGGCTACCGCATACAGGACATCTTGGAGAGGATTACCAACGAATATGCCAGCAAGAGCTTACCAGCATCAACTGCTTTTGGGGGATTTTGTGATTTGTGTAGCTTAAAGCTTCTACAGTCAAGCATGGCGTTCATTTAGATATAAGTGCTAAAAAACCACTTCACTGAGTAGTTTTTGCAAAGATTTACGTGGGAAATCTCAAATTAATTGTGTATAAATAGCGAGGCAGGTATGAACACCAAATACTAAAGCACTACTAAAATGGCAAAAAAGAAGGCGCTAGAAATGAACTACACCACGACCTCTGATAGGCAGTCGATACGAATTAGATTATTTGTACATATACTTTTCACGAAGCAATAAATAGGAAAATGATTCAACCACAAGTTTCAAATATAGCACAAAAAGACAAGAACTAGGCATAAAAATTTCGCTTCTCATCCGACTTCTCCCGGTTCTCCCACTGGTAACTGACCTCAAGAGAATGGTTGATCGTGAAGCCCTTGACAGGGAGACAGAGATGACTGGGAACTTCTTGAGTCTTCGCAGAAGACCGAAATCGGATAAGGGCATTTTTGTCGTCCAGGAAATCTGCAATTCTTCCTACAAAACAAAACTCAGGCTGATTTGTTTGGGAGCTTCAAGTTGCACAACAAAAACCGAGCTGTTCTCACCCATGTGCATGCAACCGTCGGCACGGTTAAGTGCCAAGACATCGGAATTTAGGGTAAGCATCGAGCTGGGGCTTCATCGGAGCTCGTACATTGTATCGTAGCTTCGACGACGAAAATTAACTACCCCGGGTCACTCCATGTAATGCAAAACAAGGCTGGTGAAAACCTGGAGGAAGTTGGACGGAAGAAATGGGAGGCAAAATGTACATAAACTTATCTAAAGTCGACAAAAAGCAAGAATGTTCCGTTAGATAGAGGAAGAAGTTTGCAGACAACATTTGTGTTAGGCCGATGTGGTCTCTAGTTGTTTAACATACGCTCATTAATTTAAAGACCAAAATTACTGATTGCCCATGGCTTTGAGACTGCTTTTGAAGTAACTGTACCCAGAGAGTTCCCTAAAGATGATAGAAGACATAATGCTCGGGCAGTATACGACCAAAATATGTAGGGCCCGAGCCCACCGGCATGGCCTAAACTACATCCCACCCGGAGAAGGTACAATGGTCAAGACATAAAATAACCCTTTGTGAAAAGCCAAACCCAAGCAGCTACGGTATTACAATACAATCTGTTATGCAAAATTCTCTCAAGAGAGGCAAGCAGCGGAATGCTATTCCCCAACAAATTACCAAAATATAAGTTTGCTGGAATGCGAGAATACCGCTTATTTGTAGCACGGGTATTTGCTAAGGAGTGGGGCTTAAAAAAAAGTCAAAAGGAAGTCAAGTGGGGTCCAATTAGGTGGTTAGGACATCGTCTAAAATTGAAAGTATTACTAACACTCTGGCACTTTTTTTAGTTAATAGGCGTCACAATTTAAATGCCCAACAAAACAAAACTGCAAAAAAAAATTAGAAAAGGCTTTTGGTGTAGTCATCTAAGTAAACTTAAAATAAATAAGTTCAACGTATAAAGTTCTGGAAGTTTACTTTTAAGCCGCTTTTGACTATAACAAATTATTTATTTAATAACAGCAATTTAATAATTGTTTTGCTAAGCAAGATGCACATAACAGGTTTTACCCTTTTAGTGCTTATCCTTTAACTTGTTGTAAATCCTAACGGTTGTTTTAACAGACTATAGAAGCTTGCGCAAAGCTCGGCCCTCCGCGGACATTTTGGCGCCCTGCTGCCATGGCCTCTAGGACTGGCAAACGTCTTACTGGAAACAGCAGGGGTCAGAGCTTTGCTGATAGAATGAATTCAATGAAACACAGTATTGCTGGGTCATTAATAGCGAAGACTATCTGCAAGGCCACCACTGAAGAAATGATCTCTCCGAAGAGAAAACATCTGAACAGTAAATCCGCAATTTTTAAAAATTCTTTTATTTAGTTCTGGTCAGCTGCACATACGAGCCTCGTCTTTCAATGCCAGAATTCTCAAACTACATAATTGGTCGCTCGCATAACAGCAGTTGGGTTGTATCTTTTAAAGCTCTTATTACGATTCACCATTTGATGAACGCTGGGAGCGAGGTATTTTCAGTCATATTTCGGTCAATGGGGTGATTCTTTTCCTGAGTATCTATTTATATGTGTTTGTTCCTCCCTTATTTCTAGCGCTTTTCCCAATATTTGGCGTCAAATAATTGCCAGCTTTCATCGCCTCGTTCTTTTGAGCGGAGCTCCTCGCAGGGTAACTTTACCAGGTCTTCTCTTCACACTGCTTTCTTATTGCCTGAATTTCAATTCGATATGTTAATCCTCTCATTTATTAGCTGCCACAATGTTCTTGTTTATTCGTCACTACGCCCGTTATCTCGATGCACGTTCAGCTAGTTACCGTGAGGTTGCCTTCGATTTCTGCAAAATTAGGCGAAAGTAAGTGCATGATTCAGTTCCTAATGTTCCAGTCTTTTTCTCCATATTATTTTTAAATATTTCGTGACTGCCTGAACTGACTTGAGAACTCTCCAGACTTCTGCATCTGATTAAATTGGCTTGAAAATGTTAAATCCTCAAGCAAAGGTTCGCCGAGGTGCTTTCACATTTACACATTTTAACTGTTAGAATTAGATTTGAAATAGTTTAAGGGGCCGTTTGGCTTAAGATTGGGTTTAATCTAGCTTTATCTGGATTTTAACAATGGTTCTCAGTGGAATGCATTGAGCTTCGGCATTCACTGGAGTATTGCATGGTACCATGACATGCATTGGTGTATGGAACCTGGAGTTTACTCCATGAAAAGGAACTAGAAGTAGACATTGCTACCGGCTATCTCGTTGGAAAAATAAACTATGTCGGCGATTTCATTGAATTTGATTAGGTAACTAAGCCCGATTACTGCTGCCTTGCAATTGGTGAAGACGCACTTTTTCGCAGCCGCTATCTTGCAATGTTACTTGTACGTCCCAACGGTCGATTATTATTTTTCTCTTTGAATAGCAGTGTGGCATCCACACAGTCACTTACCATGACCGCATTCCAAAGTTCACCTGAATCGGGGCTAATTCATTAACATCTGCGCTTCGGAGTTGTGCGTAGTTTTTCCTTTTCCCCCTTCCCGCGCTCTTCTCACACATTGGTGATGGCCTAGCTGAACATAAGGTTTCAGGGGGCGGGGGCGGCCAGGTTGGTGCTATTTCGATCAACAAACTGCTTGAATACATTTTCAGTGGTCCAAAATAGCCTGAAGTAAAATAGGATTCTGTTTACATAGCAAAGGAGTCAATTAACCACCTTTTAATTAGTGTAGACTGGCTCTAGTGCCATGCCTTAATTTTCAATCGCACGGTAGTGGTTAGACATATCAGAGTTTCCTATTAATCATGCTAGAAGTGAACGACTCACTTAAAGATTCCTCCAGTGGTATGTTCTCGTGGATTGTTTGCCACAGTATTTTTGTCTGTGCGACAAAGGTCAAATTAGGTCAGGAGTGACAGGGTATTATTGTCTGCAACCGGCGAGACCTTATGTTACAGTGAATTTACACTTATAAGAGAAGGATCAATCAGTAAAGTGATTTTCCCATC